CAAACTTTCTTGAAAGAGTAGGGTAAAAATAAATGCAAAAGCTAAAGAAAACAGAAGATCCTGAAAATTTTAATACAGAATGTTGCTATTAATGTTGGTATAATGAGTTTTGTTTCTAATTTTGTTGTAATTTTGAGCTTTTGGTTGTATTTGAGGATAACTATGATAGTGAATCTGTAATGTTTGATTATATGATCTATCTATGTATATTTAAGTGCACTATTGAATTTATTGAGCTTGAATTATGATATTTCAAATATAAGAGAATATAGAGGGAATTAAGAGTCAAGTAGTGAGCAGACTATTAAGTGCACTACCTCGAAAGCGTACTATTTAGGGGTGCGCATTTATTTAAGGATGAGATAATTGTATATAATTTTTAATGGTACACAAATTATTTAAAGGTGAGAAATTTATATAAGGATGACAAATTTATTCAGGATTAAAGTAATTATATATTATTTTTAAGAGTGAAAATTTTTTTTAGGGGTGAGCAGACTATTGAGGGGATTAACATTTTTTTGACAAGTTAATTTTCAGCAGTGAGGCAATTGTATATGTTTTTTAGGGGCTAGCAAATTTGATTATTTAAAGTGATCAATTTATTAAAGGGTGAGGTACATAATTGTATGTAATTATTAGGGGTGAGCAAATTATTTATGGGAGAACAAACTATTTAGGGACCCACTCACATAGGTCACGTGTAGATTGTATACTTTATCTGTTTTTGAGAGCGAGCAATTTAATTATTTGTAAGAAAATTCTTTAGGGCATGCAAAATTCCACTAAGGGTGAGAAAATTATTATTTGATGAGGTAATTTGATTATTGTTTTTAGAGGTGGGCCAATTTTGTAGGGGTGGGGTGAGCAATTTATTTAAAGGTGGGGTTATTGTATTTGACTGTATGGATTTTAGGATTGGGCAAATTATGTAGTAATGAGCAAAATATTAATGGGTGAGTGAATTTGCATATGGTTTTTAAGGGTAAACAAATTATTTAGGAGTGAGATAATTGTATATGTTTATTAGAGGTGAGCCAATTTTGTAGGGGTGACCAATTTATTTAGGGATGAGCAAATTCTATAAGGGTAATCAAACTATTTAGGGGTGCACAATTGATTTAGGGGTGAGGTAGTTATGATTTTTAGAGGTAAGCAAATTATTTAGAGTTAGTAAATTTTTAGAGATAATTGTACATGATTTTTAAAGGAGTTTTGAAGAAAATCCACTTAATATGTCCAGATATAATAGATTTTACGTGCCTAATATCATTTCAAACATTCACTCAAATTGTTGTTGCACAAATCACATATATTCACTCACAATTTTTATATGCCCAACGAAAAAACATCAAAACTCCAAAATTAAACGATTGTTAACAAGCATGACTTCCATCATGTTTTACCAATTGGAGCGAGCGCAACGCGCGCGCGGGGGTCCAAAACTAATGTATAAATGTCTTTTGATAAATAAATTTCGTAGGATTATTGTTTTTAAAACGCTACAATAAGATTATGCCACGTAGATTAGGTTTTTGAAAAGCGATACATATGATTATAATAAAATAATTGCTTTGTTAAATAACATTTTTTTTATATTAGGAATTTTATCTAAATATGATAAACAAAATAAATAATTTATTTTATAATAAAAAATTCAAGTAGTAAGTAAGTGAATATCACAAACTTTTAGATAAATATATATTTAGTAAAATATTTTATTTGAAAAAAAACAAACAAGTCGTGCTAGTTAATTTATAAAATTAGACATTATGACAAATCCAACAATATATTATAGGATCATATTTATATATTATGTATTAGTATAAAAATTAAGTCAATGATGACATATGAATAGTGTGAAATCTCAAATCTAGCATATAAAAAAAAAACCTAAGGGAGTAGTAAAAACCGTGGATGGCACGGGTTTGAATTCACACCCTGTATGCATATGGAGGAGTGCATCTTAGCACATAGCTTCTATATATTTACAAAACATATAGGAGGGCAAAAATGATAATTTAGTAACCTTTTGGAAAAGCTGACTCTACAATGGTACATTATATTGTACCATTTTGTACCGTTATGCATGTATTATGTACTATTAAAATATAAGTTGTCTGATTAATACTTTTTGTGTACTATTATGCATGTTATGGTACTTTTTACTATCTTATAGGTTTAATATTTCCCCCCAAAATACTTACCACATGTCACCTATTATACATGTAATGATACATTTTTCATCCTATATATTTGTTAAACTAATAAAAGCTATGCGGTAAGGGTTAACCCATATGGAGTAATAATTTTCCTAAAATAATTATTGTATGTACGGTGTATATGAGATGACCCAACATCTTCTAATACGGAGTACTTTAAAGTGAACATCAATAACTATATAATAAAAGACACACCAATGACATGTGTCATTTTCTAGATTGTCCTTTAGTGTTTTTTTTTTTTAAATAATCTTTATTAAACAAATCTTATAGATAAATAAAAAGATAGCAAAATAATACATAAAGAAAAGATTTGACAAATCTAATACATAAATAGAAAGATAGCAAAATAATATATAAATAAGAGATTTGATATGTCTTTCCATAATATGTACGGAGTAGTGGAGTACATTGACAATATAAATTTAAGTAAAAAAAAAATAGTAAATCAGATTTTAACATAATTGTGCCATAATGTTATGTACTCCCTCCGTTCCTTTTTTACATTTCTATTTGTAAAATTACACTGAAATTAAGGAAGTTGGAATAAAACAAAATATAATGAGAAATACAAGACATTAATTGATGTCTTTGAGTAAAATAAAGATAGAATAATATTTAATGCTGCACATGTCATCAATCCTTTGAAAATAAAAAGAACCAATAACAATTTTTGGTGGAAAAAAGGACCAATCATATTCATCTAAATTAATGCACATGGATTAAAATAAGAGTGAGAAAATAGAGAAATCATTAATTACAAAACAGAAAAATAGGGATAATTTGGAATATTTGGTAAAAATTTACATTCTAAAAAAGGAAAGTTGGAATTTAATTTTGAAATAAACAAAAAGGAAAGTAGGAATGTAAAAAAAGGGACGGAGGGAGTACTACTTATTACAACAATAATTTTATTTATTTTTATTTAATTATTAATTACTCCCTCCGTCCCTGAAAGAACGACCCATTTGGCCTAATTTTAGTCCCAAAAAGAATGACCCATTTGTTTTTCCCAACATCTATTCATTTCCCTTTCTGTTAAAGTGTCAGCTTGACAATCTTGTGTATTTTAATTATGTTGGTTGTTGTAAAACAATACTTTAATCTTATTGGCTAATAAAGCATCACATGGATTAGTGCATTATTACATTATGTTTATTAGGCATAGAATAAAGATAAAAACTTACATCTAGGATTTTCTCTCTCTAGATATTAATTACAAATTATTGTCGACTTGTGTTTTTCCATACATTTGTACTTGCAAATTAAGTTTCTTAATACGCGCAAAATCAACCCAAATGGGTCATTCTTTAGGGGACGGAGGGAGTATATGTTAAAAAACTCTAAGAAAGTAATTTGAATTTTAAATATTAAAAAATAGATAAAATAAAAGATTTGAAGTATCCTTCTACAAATAAATATATATATATATAAAAAAAAAAACAGGTTTTTAACATAATTTTTTACATACATAGTGATTACAGAGTGTAATGTACGACGTTTTAAGAAATCCATTTAGTTAACAACAAGAAAATTAAACCAAGTTTTGATAAAATTAAATATATATAATAATTTTATTTTTTGAAACCAAATATTTAATAACTAATTTTGTGCTCGTGAGATGCCCGGGTTGTTTATTAAATTTTAAGATAAATTTATAATTTATATGTCAAAATTTAAAATATACTTCATATCATTGATACAAAAATTAGTTAGGAATTAATGTGTTTTTCTGACGATTTGCTATCTAGTAGCCATGTAATGGCTAATAATAATAATGTTGGTGAAAATGTTTAATTTAATACATTAAAAAATAAAATAAAAATTAGCAAAAAATAAACTAAATAAATAAAATGTTCAAAGCACGTTGGATTGACCCGAGCCCAAAACTTTGGGCAAGGGTTTTCTTGATTCGTAACTTGAAGTGACCCAATCCGAGCTGATTCGTGACCCAATCCTAATTCACAGGTCTCCATTCTATTAGATTGCGAAGTATATATAATTTTAACCGATTAATATATATTATAAATAGTTGTTTTACGTTTTGAATTACTATCTTCGCTCCAAAAAATATTAAGATATAAAAAATAAATTGATATGACAAGTTTTTAAAATTATAATCTAATAATTTTTTTGAATAAAATTATAATTCAATTTGTACATCTGAAATATTGGTATTTTATAGATAATAAAATTCTAAACTAACAATTTTATTCTAAAATTCTATCCAAATAGAATTCTAAATTAACTTTTTTATCTTAAAAATTTTATTTAAATCTATCCAACACGGCGCGACACTTGGCGAAAAGTTAAAACGCCAAGTGTCGCAATCTCGTGACCTGAATAAAAGTTTAGCTAAAAAATATGTATCTGGCTATTAGGCTCTTTTATAATAATTAATTATAGGGTCTTTTATAATAAAGTTTTTACTCCGTATAATATTTTAGAAAAATTCATTGTTAATTTAAAAATAATTACGGAGTATAAAAAATTACAGTATATTACCCGGGATTTAACCTACTCCATTTTTAAATACTTGCTCCACTTTTCTTTTACGGCCGTTTTTAAATACTTGCTCCATTTCCTTATTTGGAAAACTTATATAATATTTTATTACTTTCTCTCACCAAGTGGACCCAACAATATTAATTTTATATTCTCTCTCCTTCAATTCTGTCCACTACTTTTGATTCATTACAATTTTTTATTCTTTCACCAACCTCAATACTTTCGTATTTTATTAATTTCTTCTAAAACTCCAGATGTATAAAAACGAAGGGAGTAGTCCCATATTCTCATTCTTTCTCTCTCCTCTTACTCACCCACAATTGCCAAAATCTCAAACAAGTATTGTGTTCGAAGTTTTCTCATTTCTCTGCAATATCCATGGCTCGACGCGGAAGACCTCGCAAGGTGCTTTTCTCTTTCTCATCTTACTTCCATTTCAATCTTTTCTTGTTATTTCAACTGGTTTTCCCCCTTTTTTCTTGGTTTTTTTTTTTATTTTTATTTATTTTTTTATTTTTTTCCCTAATTTTTTGCATAAATTTGTTGCAAATTTGTAGGTGGGTCTTAAACGTATTGATGCTGCCATTGATGCTTTAAAACCAATGGGATTTTCGCCTGAAATTGTTCGTATGAATGTTGATAAATTGCTCAAAGTAAGTCTATTTCACCAAATTATTGATCAAATTCTATGCTTTATTTTATTGAAATTTTTTTTGTCTGTTTTAATCAATTAATTTCTGGGTTTTTTATTTTATTTTTGGTGATTATAGGAGTATGGTGAAGAAGGGTGGCCTTTTATTGAAGAGGCCTCTTACAAGTTGCTGATTGAGTATATACTGGAACCTCCTGTGGTACCCAATTTCTTGTTTTTGTTATCCATTTCTTGAATTATTGCCCTTGATTTCTTATTTACTAAATGGTTATTTTCTTGTTTCATTTCTGTTGTTTATAATGATATTTTTTTGGTGTTTATTGTTGGTTATAATGATTATAATATAATTGTCACACTCTGATTGCTGATTTTGCTATTGTTTTTGAGGACTTGGGACTTTATAATAATATGAAGTATGTAAATTGAAAAGCTATTGTCTTTACAAGATAATATGAAGTATGTAAATTGAAAAGCTATTGTCTTTACAAGCGTTTTTTAATTTGTTTGTTGAGATGCTATAGTTGCTGGTACCGTGTTTTGAGCTAGGAGAGGACTATTTAATGATGATGTTTATATGTATGCATTGCAGGAATCGCCGAATGAAGATAGATGTCAAGAAGGTGGGGAGGATGAGCCGGAGGAGGCTGGACCTTCTGGTGAACCCAGTGAGTCCTTATGCTCTAACCATAGTACTCTCGTGGCAACTGATACTCCTTTGGCAAGTTCTGAACCTGTTGCAGGTAAGAGGATTTCTTTGTTCTTTCTGTGTTGTCTTCAGACTTATGTTACATTTTGCTTCTGAGATGAGAACATAGTGAATAATATCCTATATTATATATTTTATAAACTGTTAGTTTATGGGAATATCTGTTCATATTCCCCTTTAATATCAGCCTGGTAGTAAGTTGTCATGATTAAGCATAGGATTTTTTCCCTTTTAATTCAAATTGTATTAGCATGAATTTTATGAAAATATCTCTGATTTGCAGTAAATAAGGATTATCTAATTTGGAGAGGAGGTGTGGGGCGGGGTAGGGCTGTGGGGAGCTTGTGGTTTAGGAGTTTGGCATATTGAAACAGCTCCTTGGTGATAAGTGGCTTTAAATATTTTGTACTTGGGATGCCTCTAGGGTGTTTTGTGGAACACATACTTTCTATATGAGCCTTTGGAGATTCATGAGCCATATTTCCTTCTCTTCTTTGCCTTGTTCTGGTTTAATGGTATAACATTTTCTACCAGGAGGATTGTTGGGAGAGGCCTTCCATTTTCCATCTTTTTGGCTTTTTGTGTTAAAATGACTTTTATTTACTAATTTTTTAATAGAAAGATTGTTTAATTGTTTTGTTTGATTTTACTTTGTTCTACTTGATTTAGGAATTTTTTTACCTGTTATATGAGTGGTTGATAATCATTTCTTCCTGTGTATTCAATAATAACTCAATTTATAAGCACCTTGAAACAGAGCATCACTTCCAAGAATCTCTTCAATGTCACATTGAGTTGCCCAAATAGATTTTGTTTGGACTTATTTCTTAGATTAATTTAACACAAATTGCAGATTAGGCACTTCGTACCCATCTCAGCTGAGGGCCATGGGGGGCAAATATTTTTATTATTGTGTTTGTTCGGTGGTTCTATTTGTTTAACGGAATTTTGGTTGTTAAATGAGAAGCTTGGGTGTGTGACGTGGCTGGTCAGAAAGAGAGAAAGATTTCATTGAGGTATCTTCATCTGCAAATTTTTAGCTCACGCTGCAGAGTGATACTGCCACAGTGGTTGATTAACTTCAGTATCATTTTTTCCTATTATTTTTCTAGTGGGGAGTGGACTTGTGAAAAGATTCGCAGGTGGTGAGATCTAGAGTTGCTTCCCTCCTGAGTTGTGCTTTTATTATATTCACTCAATGTGATATCTTTCTTGTACCCGAGAAACAAATGGTATCTTTTGTACCTTCGTGCATTTGTCGAGCCAGCTTTTCACTATGTTATTTTATAGTAATACTAAAGGTGATGCAATGCTCAGCTCATATTTTCATGTATCTGTCTACTGTTCAATTTTAAAAATTAGAAAAGTGGCTGCTAGACATCATTCACCCCATTCAATACCACCAGATATTGATTAAAATGTTTTCTTTTATAGTTGCTTCCCATTATAGGAGGGTGTCTGAAGTGCTGAACTAGACCTCATCAAGCTCTAATTCTGATTTCATTAGTGATGGACTATTAAATGATGGTTGTACATAAAATGATTGGGTATCATGGATTTTCCATTTCGAACAAGGCATCAATTTATTGTAGTACACATCTGCATTGAGTCATTTAAAGAGCTGTTGATTTTAACTTACAGATTTATTAGCCTGACAATTTGCTGCACACCTTTCTGCTTATGTCCATTTCAGTTTCATGAATCAAATTTATGCTCATTCTACCTAGTCAGTTATGTAATTTAGAAACAATGATTCATCCTGATTGCACCCTTTTTTGGGCTAAAACTGCTAATTATTTCACATTTGGATCTTACAAATAGTGTTTACCATAAAAAAGAGTAACCTTCTGTGCTGTAAGTTACAGGCGTGAGCTACTTTTTGTTGGGTTGGTGCTTACTATGTCTTTAATTTGTATTTACAGTGCATAAGCCCTCTTTATCACTTGCTGAGAGTGCGAAGAGCCCAAGCCAAATCGAAGTAAACCAGGCTAATGCTATCCTCATAGATCAGGAAAATAGTTTACCTTTTCCCTCAATTTATACGCTTCCAATTCCACCTGGAATTGAGCATGTTCGTCAGGAAAAGATTGCACCCAGTACACGCAGACCTTGCTATGGTTGGATTGGTCCCAACACTGATGAAGATATTATTCTATTAACTCCTGCACCTGTTCTGAGCTGGAGGACTGGAAAGAGGCCAAGGAAGCGAAAATCTAGGTGGGATGTCGGGCCTTTAGATGTTGTTTGACTGAACTTTTCTATTACTTGTATATAACTCCTCATTTTTCTGTAAAACTTGTTACCTTGATAGTCTGAGATATCATAAGTTTCAGTACTTTGAAAAGGCTTAGGACTTGTGCTACTTACGAAATAGGATGCTGAATGTGAAGTTCTGCAGTTAATCTTGTAACAGAAATTATCCCTTATGGCTTGAAGCCTTGTATTGATTAGAATGAATGAATTATTACGTTGTATTGCTTATTGTTATGGTTCACTTCTGAAAACACTAGAAAGTGGCTGTTGTTTAGCAAAATCCCTTAATTTCAAGAATTACGGTAGCAGCACAAAGCATCATCTACTAAGGTTCATCTTTTTCCTCATCACTGAAGCATAGTGTTCGTACTTAAAGCCTTGTGCCCCACATCTGTCGCATGTAGTTTAGTTTGCAGGTCTGTACTAAGCAGCCATACCAACAAAGCTGAAGAGTAAATGAAATGTTCAAAATTCTTGTCATTTTTTAGGAAAAAACATAGTGATGTGAGCCTTGTTCATTATACATTATATGAATATTAATTTTTAAAAAAATAATTTTACGATAAAAATGTCAGGAGGAAATTAATGTGGTGAACTTGGTACTCGTATTATTTACAATGTAAATGCGGAAAATAAATACTGTATATTGTTAGTAATTGCTAAAGATTGAACAAAAATAATACTTATTTTATTTTTTTTAGAGAAGAAAGGAATAATACTAATGGATTTAGAATTAAAAATAAATACAGTAGTTATCAAGTTTAATATACAAAAAAAAAAAAAAAAATTAAAATACTTGGAGCCCTTCTACTGAAATTCAAAGAAGTAAGGTCCGGGCACCCGGCCGGGCGAGAACCGCTCAACTGGGCGCGATTAGAAAATTGGAGTGCAGCCCAACCGTGCGCGAGAGATACTGACTAGGAAGAAAGCCTTTAATGAGGTTGAGACTGTAGTGCTTTACTACAAAATAAACCTCCACCAAAATTAAAGGATCCTAGTAGTTTTCCTATACCTTGTCATATAGGAAATGTTTTTATTGATAAAGTTTTATGTGATTTAGGTGCCAGTGTCAGTGTAATGCCATCGTCTGTGTGTTCAAAGCTTAATATGGGTGAAATAAAGGTTACTAATTGTAGGGAATATTTCAAGCAATACCCCTAGCTCGAACCCCACTGTGATCATACACTAAAGTACAGTGTTCAAAGGGAAAGAAGATAGAGCAAAAGAGTCGCCAACAAGTTTTAGGAACTTGTAAACCGTTCACGAGGTGAAGGTTACACCCCTTAACGATCCAGGAGATCGTCAACTCCAATACGTCTGGAACCATGACTGGTAGTTCGGGGATGAAGGTACAAATTCAACCTAAAAGAGATTGAACCTTCCCTAATAATAGGTCTCTACTTTATTCTGATAGTATTCATGTGCGCTTTCTGACTAACATGCAATCAATAGGATTAACCCTAAACCCGTTTATCTATATTGGTTGAATATTAATGCACAAATAAATCTATTATTGGCGATCACTTGAATTATAATCAAATTAACCTAAACAAGATTATTAATTATCTTATTAAGCGTGATTACAAGTACCAATTCCCTTTAAACATGCATAAAAGGTGTGATCAAGCAATAACAATAAATATATATAAAAGCAACATAATAATAATCATAAAAATAATCATAATCATGTTAAAGCATAATGATAGCAAGATCCTAGGCATGATACTAACAAGATTAATAACAAACCCTAGCATGTCACTAAACATTAAAAATCAAAACTTTAACCCTAACATGTACTAACAATCATAAATATTAGGAATAATATAGGAAGCATCATACTTTTAATCATACTTGGTATTAAAGTTACCCTAGACATGATACTAGGAAGATCAAAATACCCTAACATAACACTAGGAATCATAATAACAACCTAAGCATGATTTCTACATAATATCATCAATAAAAACAATTAAAGCACTTACTTGGATGTCTCGTACCTCTTTCTAATAACAAAATACACACGTTAGTAACTTTAAGAAAAATAATAAACAAACAATTAAATTAAATAATTGAAATAGAGATTTGGGACCAAACACTCAAAAATTAAACCTTTCACGTCTAGGGCGAAGGCAACTTCGAATATGGATAGGTGTATCTAGATCTTGCGAATACGGAATTTTGTATTTGAGAAAAGGCTAGTTTAGAAGAGAGAGAGAGAGAGAGTAATCAAGAAAATCTTGATGCGAGTTGGTAAATGAAAAGAATTGGTGAATGAAAACGGAGTTTTTAGAAGGCTATTTATAGAGAAAATCAGCCAAAAAGATAAAAAATCAAAACAGAGTTCTGACGCGTAAAACCAGATTAGCGCCAGACGCTGACATTAGCGCCATGCGCTAACGCTAGCGCCAGACGCTAACGCTAGTGCCAGACGCTGACATTAGCGCCAAGCGCTAACTCTAGCGCCAGGCGCCAAGCTTAGCGTCAGTCGCTAATGCTGGCGTTTGGCGCTGACCAAAATATTGACGCGTTTTCTAAAATTAGATAGAAATTACCGTACAGGAGGATAAAATCGTATTTTCCTCAAAAACATTCTTTTATTCTGATTAAAACTCTAAAAGTCAACAAAAGTCAATTTATCAATGTTAATTGAATTAGGAATGAAAAGAACCTTCTAGAAGAATCTAGAAGACTAAAACCATTCCTAATTGCATTAGGAATGATAAACCTATATTAGGCCCTCCTTTAGATCATTGGGCCGGATATAAGGCTCAAACCGGGCCCAGTTCAGTAATTTGGCCATAACTTCCTCAATATTCATCGGAATTGGGCTTATAATAGATTGTTGGAAAGCTCTTTTCAAGCCCTATCCAACTACACTATTAGTGGACCCATATCATGGACCAAACAAACTGGATTGGCTTTTTCCTAAAATAGGTTTTCAAAAACAGAGAGAAGAGAAAAGAAATTAAAACTATCCGCAACACTAAACTTTCCACACTTTCACTTCATTCGATTATGATTCGACGTGAAAGATACTCATCACCGGGTTTGGTTTTGGGGAGACACAAACGGGTGTTACACTAACGTCACTCTACAAATGGCAGATCGTTCTTTTAAATACCCCCTAGGTATTTTAGAGGATGTCCTTGTCAGGGTTGATAAATTTTTTATCCCTGTAGATTTTGTTGTTTTAGACATGGCTGAGGATACGCAGATTCCTATTATTTTAGGAAGGCCCTTTCTTCATATTGCAGGGGTCGTAATTGATGTGAAAAATGGAAAATTAACTCTCTCTGTTGGTGATAATAATATTACATTGAATTTAGAGAGAGTTATGAAAGGTCCTATGTTAGAGGAAAAGTGTTATAGTGTTAATGTCATTGATTTTATATGCCATGACAGCTTACCTCAAGTTCTCTCATGAGATCCTTTAGAGGAAGTACTATGTTGTGAACTTGATGCAGGTGACGTTGATATATGGAGCAAAGAGGTGGATGAAATTGAGCATGCTCTATCAAACAAGCAACTTAGCCCTGATGAGAATGGTAAGGTGGAAAATTTAATTCAGGAACCATACTCTGCGGAGGTAAAGAAACCTAAACTTAAGATTCTTCCTTCCCATTTAAAATATGTATTTTTGGATGAGCAAGAACTGCACCCTTTGATCATTAGTATAGCACTCGATGATCCACAAACTTCCCAACTTCTAGAGGTTCTTCGAACCCACAAAAAGGCCATTGGGTACAGTATTGATGATCTAAAGGGTATTTTCCCTAATTTTTGCATGCATAGGATACACTTAAAGGATCATAGACCGGTTATTCCACCATAGAGAAGGTTGAATCCTAACATGAAAGAGGTTGTTAAAAAAGAAGTAATGAAACTACTTGATGCAGGTATTATCTATCATATCTCTGATTAAAAGTGGGTAAGCCCTGTGCAAGTAGTTCCAAAGAAAGGTGGGATGACAATAGTAAAGAATGATAAGAACGAATTAATTCTCACTAGAACTGTAATAGGATGGCGGATGTCCATTTACTATCGTAGATTAAACACCACCACTAAAAAAGATCATTTCCCCCTCCCATTTATTGATTAAATGTTGCAAAAATTGGCTAATCATAAATTTTTTTTGTTATTTGGATGGATACTCGGGGTTCTTTCAAATCCCAATTCACCTTGATGATCAGGAGAAAACAACATTTACTCGTCCCTATGGTACTTTTTCTTATCGTAGAATGCCCTTTTGATTATGTAATGCACCTGCTACTTTTCAGCGTTGTATGATGAGCATCTTTTCTGAGTTTATAAAGTCTATTATGGAAGTTTTTATTGATGACTTTAGTGTCTATGATTCTTCATTTAATAATTGTTTATCTAACCTGGCTAAGGTTTTGAAAAGATATGAAGAATGCAATTTGGTCTTAAACTGGGAGAAGTGTCACTTTATGGTGACACAAGGTGTATTATTGGGTCATATTGTTTCTGACCAGGGTATACATGTATAAAAAGCAACGGTAGAAGTGATTGAGCAATTACCCCCACCAGTTAATGTTAAAGGGGTAAGGAGTTTCCTTGGTCACGCGACGTTTTATCGCCGCTTTATCAAGGATTTTTCTAAGATTGCAAAATCACTAACCCAACTTCTACTTAAGATGCTCCTTTTGATTTTACTGATGAGTATCTTGAGTCTTTTAACAGGATAAAGAAAGCCTTGATTTCGTCTCCTATAAGATGTGCTCCCGATTGGAATCTTCCATTGAAGATCATGTGTGACGCTAGTGACTATGCTTTGGGCGCCGTGCTTGGCCGAAGAAAGAACAAAGTTTTGCATGCTATTTACTATGCTAGTAAAACTTTAGATGAGACTCAAGTCAACTATGCTACTACAGAGAGGGAGTTTCTTGCTGTGATTTTTGCCTTGGAGAAATTTAGATCATAATTGGTTAGTTCTAAAATTATTGATTTTACTGATTATGCAGCATTAAAATATCTCATTGCCAAGTCAGAGACCAAACCTAGACTTCTTCGTTGGGTACTCACACTCCAAGACTTTTATATTGAAATCAGAGACAAGAAGGGAGCGGAGAATGTAGTTGCAGATCACTTGTCTAGGATTAGGTATGATGGAGGTAAGGATTCTACACCTATAGATGATTCTCTTCCTAACGATAATCTACTTGCACTTGTGTCACAAGGACCTTGGTATGCCGATTATGCCAACTATTTGGTAG